TGAATATTTAGTGAACAAAGAGAGAATCGTCTGACACGATGACGGGTGTTCGTTTTGAAATCCGTTCCAAACGCGAGTCTTCACCCGTTAATAACAGAGTAATCCATAAAATTGAAAACTTTGCCCCCTGAAGTGCTGAAACACAGTTAATATAAACTGTCTTGCAAAGTTAAGAAGATCATAAGGTCTTCTACTGATGTTAAAATGCATTTTCGCAGTTTCCGAACCTTGCTTTTCTATGCTTATTATTTCGCATCCATCGAAGTGTTAATAAAAGTCTTCATATATTTAGGACATGACGGTGGTTTAGAGACGGAGGTGGAAGAATTGGCACCAGAGAAGACTACAAGTGGACGAGATGATGACGACTTGTCTACTTGGAAATGGATTATCAAACGTGTTTTAACTGGATTCAACTCCGCTGATGGAGCTGTCTGCGTTCATGTCTAGTATCCTTTCGACTCAGTAAATTTTTAAAAAAACATGAATATTGTTTTTTCAAATTTCCGTACGATTAGAGGCGCAGTTTACCATAAAGAAGCACGCTTTATAAACTGCCTAGGTCCACAGAGTCAGTAAGGGCGAAATTGAGGTACATTTGCTGGCCAGATCAACTACTACCCACCGGTCTTTTTAACGCGCTACTTGGACTGCGCGAATTTAAAACTGTCTTCTGACCGTGACGAAACATTTAACGAATTTGACTTTGGAGCAGGACTCAGCTCAAAATCTAAAAAAAGGCAGCCAGGTGCATGGCCGATTTTGTGGCGCGCAACAACGCCACACGCAACAACATTAAGTGTTACGAGCTGAGGTAACAATCGGGAGATGGCACCCAAAAAATTCCGTTACCTAGAAATAATACCTTTAACAGTGGATTCAAACGCCTTCAGGCTATGTCAGCAGTTGCAGGCCTACTTTCACGCACTACATGGACTTTCCGCGACGGCCTAACATGGGCTGGCCGAAGGAACATCTCAGGAGGTTACATGGACGATGGCGCTGTTACCCAGCCTTCCCCATCTTTACACACGTACACCTGAATATACGGCATACATCCACATAATGGCAGTTTGTTACAAAACAAAAACACTTTTAAATAGGATAAGTCTGCACAACATGGGACAGGAACAGTTCCCAGGCATCTGTCAAAGACATGGCATTGAGGCCAAACCAAAGACGATATTGTATTTCGTCTATGTGAGCCCACACCGCTCGACCATATAAAAGGCCTCCCTCGTGGAGTTGCCTTTTCAGTCTACTCCCGTATGCCGCATAGGCATTTGTGTGCCGTCCGGTGGTAGGGTCCTTGAAGTTCTTTGAGTGGTTAACAGAGAAATGCAGATAACCTTCTGAGAGAAGACGATTTTACGCCCTCCACTCGTCCGTTACCACTATACTGCCTTTGGCGACCCATTTAGTAAATGCATAACAGAGAGCGGGTCAACTTCGATCATTCACCTGTTCAAATAAGGCTCTCTGTCCGCTAGTATCGTACATCCTGACCAGCCACCACCCATTAAACCCCTATTACCAACTTTCCCGTAAGACAGGCTGGTTTGTTTAGGCGGATTTTTTGGGTGCCATCTCCCGATTGTTACCCGAGCTGAAAATTAAAAAAAAGAATTCGAAAGGAAGAATAATTTTAAGAGGATAGTTAGACAGAACACTGTAAAACCCGCTCGGTCTGGACTCTTTCCACAACCCGCTAATACAAAACGCGAATCGCAGCAATTTTGCTGACAGCAGCTTTAACTATGCACTCTTTAGCTTACTACTTTTTCAGAAGGGCATTTGGCGAGCATACGCGCGCTTCCGATAAATTTTCATCAGGTCAGTTACAGAAT